TTACTTGAGCATAAAATATATGTTTCATCTTTATTCAATAAATATACAGTATCTCTCTATATGAAAAACATTAAGTTTGAGAAAATGAAAAAAGAAAATTTTCTTATACATGTATGTGTATGTTGGTATTTATAGTACGAAACAATCTAGATAACTGATAATAAGTTGATAAGGATTAAGATTGTGATAAAATCTAACATTTCTTTGAATAGACATGATTTTATAATTTATATCAGATATAGATAGGAATGTAATACAAAATGTATGAACGTATGAAAAAATTTAGATCGTACGAATAAACTACATACTATTGTAAATTAGAGAGCGAAATAACGTTTCACAGTTTAGCTCCAATAGATAACTAATAATCTAATTACTATCGACTATATATTAACAATATGGCTAATTATAGTAAGGACGATAAGATGAGGCCGATCATATATAAGTCAAAATTTTAATAAGTAAATCGATATTGACATCTTAAGTAAACTTTGTTCGGAAGATTAAAAACATATACTGTGAAAATTTCATGTAATTTGTAACTCATAATGTTAGGAGATATAACAACTCTCTCAAAAAACAATTATGGGAAGATTTGATTAACTTTTTACTAATTCATTTTTGCACTTTACGCTTCTGCGACCAAAAATTACTTTTTGTTCGCTAATACGTAAAGTGCAAAAGTGGATTAATAAAAGGTTATCCAAATTACATAAAAATTTCACGGTATATGTATTTTATTATTCTGGACAACAACTTTACTTAAGATTCTAATATCAATTTACTTATTAAAATTTTTGACTTATATATGTAACTATGATCATCGACTGATTAAAATTAGTTTAAAAAAAAAAATTAAAAATTAATTTTAATGACCCGCTCGTGAACGAAGTCACAAGGCGGGACATTATTGTGAGTCACTGGACCGTCAGGTGATGATATATCATGGGATTGATCATGACAAGATCGCTGTATTAGTATTTGAGTAACTTGATAATCTGTCGATTTCTTTGTTCTTGAATTTTCTGCTCGACATTGTGTCCAGCTACAGCCCCCCCACCGCAAGTTCTAAATTCCCGAAAGTACACGATACTCGCAAAGTATGCCCACGTGATATCAGGTGGCTTGTTCCGCGACCTTATCCCATACTGTACTTCGTGTAAGCACAGATGTATTGTTGGCCATGGAAGTTGTTCGTTTAGCAAAGGAATGGGTTCCATGACGAACAATAATAATTAATCGATGATCGTAGCTATATATCTAAGTTAAAATTTTAATAAGTAAATCGATATTGGTGTCTTAAGTTATTCAGGAGAATAAAATAAATGTACTATAAAATTTTCATGTAATTAAGTGCAAAAGTGAATTAATTAAATTATATGAAAATTTCACAGTATATGTATTTTATTCTCCTAAACAATTTTACTTAAGACACTAATATCAATTTATTTATTAACATTTCAACTTAGATATGTAGCTATGATTATGATTAATTAAAATTAGATTTTTAAATATTTTTTTTTTAAATAATACCTCTATATAATCGTTATTTGATTTTTTAATATAGATGTGATTATATATAGAGGCCTCTATAATAGTCACACCTTTATATAATCTCTATTTTCTGTATCCCGAGAGTGTGACTATAGAGAGGTCTGATTGTATTCGATATATCTAATTTTTCAGAAATCCTTCCAGAAGATTCCACTTCAAGATACAGCAAATTGTTTATTGTTTAGCGTGTTTGTGGCTTCTTCTCTTGTGTCAGTTAAATCTCCACCCATTGAGAGTTCTAAGTCCATTCTTTCTGACCAACTTGAAACTGTTGTGCTAGCGGCATCTGACTCCATGTTAGGTTCCTGACCTGGGTTTGGGGTTGTTGAATGAGATATTTCTGTCACCTCTGCTTCGTTCTTTAAATTCTAATTATTGGATCTAGTGTCGTACATTTTCCTTCGGGCTCACCTATAACCAATGTTAAACTTGTTCTTTTCTTCAGAACAAGGACTTCAGCCCTGGTTATTTCGTTTGGTTTGTCGTTGCTCTCAACCTACGATGTTATTTTGTTTCTTTATTACAAGCAACCAATTTTTTATCAAATAAGTTATTAATTAATTTTTTTAAAACTTTGAATAAAGGTTCCTCGATAACAAACTAATCAATTTCGATGAATTTTTTTTTTTTTTTTTTATTCAAATTCTATTTAATTGTAGAATTCAAATAAATAAAAAATGAATCGAAATTGATTAGATGGTTGTCGAGAAACTTATGCTTAAAGTTTTAAAAAATTATGATAACCAACTGTAAAATTTTGTATGTTTTACTAAAGAATTAGAATATGACAGGGAATTTTTGGAATTGTTATTTTTTTAAGCGAAAATTTGCAAAAAAAAAAATAAGAATTTAAAGGAATTTTGCTGATCTGATGAACACAGTTATTTGAACTTTATAATTTAATTTCTAATACGGTAAAAACCCCAATATTGGTAATTACAAATATAAAATAATAAATAATAAATAATAAAAAATAAACAAAAAGAAACAAAAAAAAAAATTGTGACTAAAGCTTGTCAGCTGTATTGTATGTAAAAATTGAAATTGTGTGTATGCAAAAAAAAAATAAAATAAAATAAAACTAAATTAAAAATGCAAAAATTTTCAATTTGAGATGCTAATAATATATTTATGTTACTGTAAATGTTAATTACAAGTCTAAAAGTGGGATTAAAAAAAAAAAATGAGAAAAACCAATGTCCTGCGTATAATGAAAAAAAAACTAATGTATTTGCGTAT